TTCCACCTTTGAGGGATACTCTGATAGGTTCTTAAGAGTTGTGTTGCACAGAGCTCTTAAGGCCTTGCTGCCTGTTTAACCACAAGAGGGTGTTGGTGCATCGATTGAGAAGATGAAATGACCTGCAGGAAGTTGGCAGGCCTGAGAGAGCTTCTTTTGTGTATCCAGGAGCTGGAGAATGCTGAATTCATCCCCATGCCTGACAGCCCCTTTCCTCTGAGCATGGCATCTTCAGAGCCTGAAAAGGAGACTCTTCCTTACCAGAAACTTCAAGGACTTAAAGTGGCCTCTGAGGAACCTGTTGGATTAAACAAGCCCAAAACGGAGCCCTGGGTAATGTTATCAAAGTGAATGCTTGGCAAAAAGCTCTTGGGGACCATAAATGGCAATGTTTGAATTATGGGGAGAGCTGAGAAGAGACTGTTAGATAGGCCTAATTCATCTGGATGAGGAAAAGAGGGCTGGTGATAATCAGAGATGATGCTGCAGAGAGAAAAATTCCCAAGGATTTTTTTGGGAACACAAAGCTGATTCTTGGTCAGATTTAAAGTAATGAGCTCAGAAGCCTAGCAGAAAACAGAAATTTAGAAAGCAGAATTTGTTGTGAGATAGGAAGAAGAGCTGATTTAGAAAATCAATTAGAAATTACAACCTGTGAGACTACCTAACTCTAGGAGTTTTCTGTCCCAAGGGAGGCATGGATCCTATGCTTAGGGAAATGGGGGTAAAACTGTATGGATTTTGGTGCTGGGAGGATAGGAACAGCCTTCCCAGGGAAAGGAGGAAGCTAGTGGCTTTGTACAGAGGACAGAAGGAGAAGTATCTTGTTGACCCTAGAAATTTGGCAAGTCAGGGAACAAGCTGGAATAACACTCTGGGCATGTTTTTTTTCCTTGTGGCATATACAGCACTTGGCCTTGCACTCAAATCTGGCCTGACTGGCCTCAAATCTGACTTCCTTCCATGTCTCTGCAGCCTACTTGCCTGAGTCCAGCCTTACCATGTGGTGAAGGGAAGGATGCATCTCCTGGTGCAGGCTGCATGTGCAGTGCTCTGCAAGTGGAGGTGACGCACCTCCGAGGCCTGGTTTTACAGTGTCTGGATGATCAGAAGAAGCTGCAGCAGGAAACCATTCGTCTGAGTGCCCAGCTCCAGCGGTTCTGCAGGAAGATGGAGGAAATGCAGCAGGTAGGAATCCATCATCTGAGTGCATTTCTGTGCTCAGGGCTCACCATGCTCCTGCAGATTGTGGAGGCTGCGCAGAAGAAAGCAGCTCTTAACAGCCACCTCTGTCAGAACAGAATTTGGTGGACTAAGAAAGATGCCTGTTTCTTATAAGCTGCTGATGCAGGCTCTGATAGTAGCAAAACAGGAATGAAGCCAAAAAGAGTTTCCTCTGAGGATGGCCCACTCTTTGAGGGACCTGGGATTTCCCTTTATTTCTCCTGAAATGAGAAGGGATGGGCAGTCATATGTTGCGAAGAGTAACAACAAATGGCTGTGTAGAACACAAGCTGGGCCTTGTGCAGCTTCTAGCTTTTGTGCAGCTAGTCCGGCGCTGTTTGGGTAACTGCTGTGTGTTCTGACAGGTGAAGGTTCATTCCAAAGGAACACAGACAACCAAAGAGGAGATGGAAGTGGATCCAAAACCTGATGTGGATTCAGATTCCTGGTGTCTCCTGGGAACGGACTCGTGCCGCTCCAACCTCTAGTCTCCTGAGCCCACTGGGATCCATCTAACTTCACAGCACACTAACCGAATGCAGAGAGCGGCTTTTCTGGCGTCAGGTCACTCGCGGACAAGGAGCGAGGCCGGAGGCTCCAGAGCAGCACCCATGTACGTTTGATATGAACTAGGAGTGAGTTTGAGAGGGGGAGGGCCCTTGAGCTCTAGGCCAGCTCAGTGATTGAAGCAGCAGCAGCTCCTCTTTGTACCTAATCTGTCAGTTCTGCACGTGAGGCAGAACGGCCCCATTATGGCGATGGCTCCAGTAGCAGCTTGTGGCCCTTTCATTGTTTCACTGTTTCCTGGGAGCTGCCTTTGGGACCCCAGTATTCATCACTGCATCTCTAGACGAGAGGAGGAAACATGTTCTGTACTGAAGCTGGCTGAACCCTAAGACTTGCCACCTTCACTTCAGGGGGGTGAAGGACTAGGATCCTCTCCTCAGCACGTGGTGAGGCCCCGCCAGTGAGGCTGCTTCCCTCTGCTCAGGCGCAGGGGGACCAGCGAATGTATCACTCTGGAGGCAGTGGAGATGTTCCTCTTAGGGAGATCGTAGTAGACAGCACGTCCCTGGCCTCGAGGCACAGCTTCTGGCCGTATGGCTGCGTCCACTGGTCTGTATAGACAGAGTTCGAAGGCTTTATTCTGGGTGCCAAGGGCTTTCCAACTTCCAGGCAATGCACCAAGATGAGTGAATCAGGTGTTTCCTGTTGAAGTAGTGGGGACTGTCTGAGGTTGGATCTGTCGTTCTTGGTTTTCACCTGTCTCCCAACCAGATGCCAAGCATCTGGGCCTCAGACTAAGCTACCCATTTCTTGCTCCAGCTGTTCAACTTGGTTTGGGTGCCAGAGTTTCTGGTTTCTTGGCATAAGCCTGTAGCTGCTCCCTGCTTGGCTTCTCTTCTGCTCAGTCCCTGTGCCTACACTCTGTGTGGGTGTGGGAAAAATCTGTGGTTTTCCACTCAGTGTTCTTATGAAGCTGGAATGCCATTTCCTACCCAGAATAGGTCACTACTGCTGTGGTCTCAGGATGTAGCCTTCCCCAAAGACCGTGAATGATCAAATCTCAGTCCGGAATTCACCTTCTTTCAAGAAGTGAGAAGCTTTCCCAAGAAAATTGGAGATGGGAAGAGGCATGGTCTGATGCTCAAGATTTATTCATTTTCTGTTAGAGAATGAGGCTAATTTTATTCCCCTTAAATTTATTAGCAAATTGACTTTGAAGTAAAGCTTTTGGGATTGGTAGGATCCCTGGGAGCAGCTAGCTTCCCCTGTCTTACTTGGCGCCTCCAAGGAGTCCTGAGTTCCTCTCACCTTTGCTGTGAGAGTGGGGTTGTGATTTCATCAGGCTTAAATGGCATGTTACTAGAATTGATCCCCATCAATGGCATGTTACTAGAATTGCCTTAGGTCTACTGGAGGTGAATATCATATCACCTCTGACAGACTTCTTTTGAGAGACTGTTCTGGGGAATCCAGCATTCCCCATTTGTCTCTAGAGGTGGATGCCAAACCATTTGCTCATAATACAATGCTCCTTAAATACTTCTTTGGTGCCTATTGCTAGTATCTGGGAGCTGAATCAAGTGCTGTCTTCCCAATGCAGTGTCCAGGGCAAGAATTGTTCCAGTGCGCCTGTCCATTGCTACCAGAAGCAGGGCAGGAGGAGAGACCTCCTGGGAGGCGGTGAGAATCAGGTGCCCTGGTACAGCCAGGCTTGATTGCCCTTGTGACTCTGCTCTCCTTTCCCCCACGTGCGTTGGAGCCAGTTCTCAGGTCAGGGTCCCGGCTTGAGGGTCGTTGGTCACGTGCAACAGTGCCTTTGAGGACTGAAAAGTCGAGCCTGAGCCATGTTTAATAAGCAAGCACCAAGCTGATGAGAGTCGCTCTCCTGCAGTGCACTGCTATCCTCATTTCTCAATGCTCTGCAGTTGGGAAGCTAGGTGCACAGACTGGATTCCCCTTGGATCTAGTGGAGGATTAGGGCTCCTGACAGGGGATGCCCTGTGCTCCACAATCTCATATGTGCCTTAGAGGATTCACGCTATCCAGGTTGTGCCTGTTACAGACCACAGATTTCACACCAGCCAGCTATGCAACAAAAAAAGCAGTTTAAAGGTAGCACCTTTGTCTTGGGCTGAAAACGGAAAGACAGGCAGGCAGAAGTGCCTTCGAGCAGTTTCAAACCCTTTTTACTTCTCCCCTTCTTGCAGTGCTAGCTCCATATGTGTTGGTCTCCTGCTAGTATTGCTCCTGAGTTGTTGTAGAGGAACACAACTTAAGCCTGCTCTGACACTCTGGCTGAAAACTAGTTTGTCGTTGTCTTTCTTTGAAAGGTTAAAGGGTGGAGTGGTTTGGAATTTCTGTTTAAATAAATGGTTAAACTCATACTCCTGTGTTTCTACTCCTTTTCTTGTCTTTTTTTTTTTTTTCCAAGAGAGGAAAGGGAAATATGCATACAGTCATCTGGTTTTTTGGCATTCTGGTTTTGATTATTTTCTTTTGCTTATAGAAAGAGGGTGAAAGGGCTTTTAGATTCTTTGCTCTGGTTAAAAAAAAAAAGTCAGTTTCTGTGTCCCTTCATTAAAAGAAACCAACAACAACCAAACAAAACCCCCATTCTTTTCTCATACTGCTACATCTCCTCCTAGTGACGTCAGGAGCTTGTGTGTGTGTGTGTTTATTTCCACAGTTTGAGTGCCAAGTGGGGAAATGAGTAATGGGAAGAGAGGCTTAAAGGGAAGAAGTACCTGTTTTTCTCAGAAGATCTTCACTGATCGTTGAGGCCTACAGAAGGGAGAACATGCCTGACACCCCCTGCTTAGCCAGCTTTCCTGCACGCTGTACCTTAAAGCCTGTCACTTTTATCAGAAATTTTACTAAATTGTGAAATATCTTGACAGGCAGAGGAGAGTTGAAGATTTAAAATTCACTAGAGATTTGGATGCTGAAAATGCAGCATGTCTCTGAGAGGGGGATTGTACTGCAGGAGCAAAAGGAAGCTGAGCTGTCATGAATAGCACAGCTTGAGTAGTGACAGGGTAACTAACCATGGTAGCAAAGCAGCACCCTAAATCTCTGTGCTGACCTTGATACTTTGTCTGACATGTTACTAAGTTTTAAACCAGTTATCAGGGACTCTGGATACTGAAAAAATAGCAAAGAGGGGTGAACTGCCTGCCTTGGCTCCAAAACAGGTAACAATGAAGCATGGTGATTTAATAACTTTTATTTAATCTACAGTTTCAATCTTTTCAGTCTCAGTGTTAGCCATTTGCCTGTCAGTTTTGAGAAGTCCCCAACACATGAGTTTATTTTACAGCATCAAATGTTTTTTTGTGTGTATCCATGTGTCACCATTTACACTGCTGACCTTTAGGGTCCATTAAATATAGTCAATAAAATGTAGTGCAAGGGAAACAGAGTTAATATTAGAAGACAGGCAGTGGTGCTGAATTTTTTAACTAGTGTGTTCAAATCACTTGTTCCTTTAATGAATTCAAGGAGGCTGGCATAAAGGTTTCAATTTACCCCTTTCCTACCTCTTGCTATCCTGGTTTTCAAAACCCTCAAGTGAAAGCACTGGTCTTGCTTCTCCAATCAGTTTGGATACAGTAAATTATTTTCCCTTCTTTTGAGTCTGCTTTTTCTCTCAGGTTTGTACACCCATCGTTGGCTGGCACAGTGTAGCAATGATCCTTTCTGGGACCTTCATGCTTTTCCAGGGTGTTTTGCCAAGGGACTGAGACTTCTGCTCACGTATCTATAGGACAGAAGGTCTCCAACCTCTTTCAGGAGTCAGGTTCACTCATTGAAGGCTGGAGTATTTCTTCATATTCAGCTTCTGACTATTCCAGTTTAATCTAGTTGCTTTAGATCTTTCTCTAGGTTCCCATGAGCTGCTGCTATTGCTACCAGAGGACTTGCAAAAGGAGCTTCTGGAACTTTTTTATTCCTTGTTCACTTGTTGCAACTTTCTCATACAAAGTAGTCATTCTTACTGTGAGAACACAGATCATTCTGTGACCATTTAAAATAACTTTTACACAAGAGAACTAGTTTAATACATTTAATAATCACAATCTAGAAAAATAACATCTCAAGAAGAAAACAAAAGAAGGGATATGTTTTTGTCATAATTCTCTCCCATTGCAGCAACCAAGATGAAATAAGCGGATGACTTAAGAAGGGGTGAAAGCTTTGCTTTTAGAGGTTCCTAGCAACTTGGCCTGCAGGAAGAAAATTCCATTTTTTAAAATACTAAATCTGATTGTGATGGTTGTTCTGTTGCCTCAAGGGCCTGGCTGATTCAGAGTATCCTTGTTCTATGCACGTGAATTGACATGAGGATCCAAACAGTAAGTGCCTGCTATTGCTAGCTTTTCTAATCCCTGGAATTTCTGATCCTGAGCTTCTTATGCTGAGGAAAGGGGCATCTTTTGTTGGGCAACCTAGGGTGCAGGTCAAAGTATACAAGTTCTGTTTTTCAGCTGATTCATCCTGAGCTGTTCACTTGCTGTACATAGAAGCTTGCAGCCAGTGTTGAGACTACAGAAAACACAAATGTCTAACTGTGAATCTGGCAAAAAACAGGCAGGGAATCACAGCAGCAGATACAGCTGAGCTTTGCCTCATCAGCGCCTCCTCTGTGGTGGAGGTGGGGGCCTATTCCTTATGTTTTTGCATTTGGGAATATGCCTCTCAGCTACTCGGGGAGCAAACTTGCGTCCACAGTAGGTGCAGGCAACATAGTCTGGATTTTCGATGGGAGGCAGTGGGGGCAGGCCAGACACCTTCCTCCCCTTAGCGAGGATTTGCTCTGCCCGGCGGGCCTGTGCCATGATGTGGATGAGAGCCTCGTGCTTCTGTTTCCAGTTGCTCTTTCTGGGTGGTGTTTTACTCTGCGGAAGGGAAAGGCAGTCAGGGCAACTGGGACCACCATCAGCCTCCAATCTCAAACTTACACTCGGAGCCCAACCCATGTCTCCTGTCCCTGTGCGTTCCCTGTTGATGTAAAACCCAGCCTGAGAAGCTGAGTCCCACAGAGGGAATCAGAAAGACCAGCACAAAGGAGGATGTAAAGGAAATACTGATGGAAACATCAGTATTTAGAAAGAGCTTGAGGATAACCAGAAAAGCAAGCAGCAGGGCCAAGGAACTAAAGAGGGTTGCTACATCTCCTTTGCAGGAACAGAGCTGCATGTTTCCACTGCCTTCGTTTTAACAGACTCTGCTATTATCTGGATTTTTCAGTCAGCTCCCTGCAGCCCCTGATGTCACAGAGTTTTACTGCAGCAGAACCAGTCTGCATCCTAACTACAGCAAGGAAGTGAGCTTTCTCCAGTAGTGCACCCTTAACACATTATAAAGCCAACTCAGGACTCCTGCTTCCATCTATGAGATTTTAAATGGATCTATTTATCCATTGGCAAGAACCTTTCAGAGGCAATAGCTGTATTGTATCCCTTGGCCCCATGTACATGGGAAGGTGCTTGCATCTCAGTCAGAGGTTGAAATGGAAGGAATGTGAACAGTAGATGTGGATCCAGGGAGGCAAAGGGACTGCACGTTACCTGAGGACTCCTTGAGCTCTTCTGCTGCTGATACTGTTCCAGTTCTGTTCCCCTAGCTCTGGCCTTGCTGGAGTCAAACACTTTCCTCTTGGAGTCTTGGTTCTTGCCACAGATACTCATGTGTTTCTCAAGCCTTGTGCAGAGAAACTTACGTCTGCAGAAGCTGCACTGTCCAAAGCCTTCCTGCTCCACAGCACCGGCAGCCTCCATGTGTGGCAGCTCTGCAGAAGGGTGGTCATCAGAATCTTGGTCTGAGAGGACGGAGGGAGAAAGGCTCTGCTTTGGGACCAGTTTTGAACCAGAACCTAAATGCTCCACGGGTATGTTGTCTTGTGTTTCGCTGTTTGTTTTGTCGTGTTTTGCGGCCACCAGCCACTCCTTGAGTTTCCCCACAGCCAGCTCTTGGGGGTGGGGAGTGGTGCCAGACTTGGGAATGGTGTCCTCTGCAGACTGTGCCCCGCTGAAGATCTCAACACCTGGCATGTCTGCAGCTCTGCAAGTTTTCTCTTCAGGGTGCCTTGTGGCCTTTTGCTCATAGGTACTCTCCACTTCACTTCTCTCCTCTACTTTGATAAGATCCCTCTCTCTTTGAATCCTCCTAAGTGTCTCCTCTGTCCTCTTTAGCTTCTCTCCAAGAAGGGCCTTTTTCTTTTGAATTGCCTCTTCTAGGTTCCTTCTATCTGCCTCCAGCTTTAGGATGTAGGCCAGCTCTCTCCTGAATAGATGGGGAGCTGATGGTTCAGGCTCTCGTGTCCAGGGGCAGAGCACTGCAGCTAACTGAGATCTCCCTGCTGGAGCCATCTCTTTGTTTATTGAGCTTGATCTACTATTTGGAGCTTCCTGCATGTGGGGGGAACTTCCAGTGCTGAGCAGTGGATCACTTGCACTCTTGTGGTGAGAAATTGGTTGCAGGGGATATGCACGGTCCACTCCTTCTTTATGTCTGCCTAACGATTTAGCTGACAGAGTACAAGTCTGGCTGATGAGATACTTGCTCTCTAGTCCACCTGACCAGAAGCCTCCATGCCTGGGCTTGTCCTGAGTGCTTTCTGCAGACATAGAATAGGAATATCTTTGGTTCTTTTGTGCATAGAGATCTTTTAAACTTTCCTCTTTGTCAATTATGAATCCGTGCTGAAAGTTGCCCTTCTGGTATTTCAGCTGGGAACCAGGAGAAAACTTAGTAGCTGCCTCCACAGGAGCCACCGGTGGAAAAAAATCCATTCAGTGCCTGAGAAAGAGCGTGAGGTTAGAAGCAAAGCCATTACAAACAATTTTATCCAAACTGGACAAATCTTCTCCTAACAGTTTATGCATGAACACTGCAGACAGAGGTTATAATAAGTATTAGTAAAGGTTTGGTAACTTTTCTGCTTTCTGTAAATTTTTACATTCCTCCCATCTTGGGAGCTTCCATGCTGCCTCTTCTAGTCCCAGAAATAAGACACACTTTTATTTCTCTTTCTGTCTGAGCCCTGCCTTACCGTGGTAGCAGCAGAAATATACTGCAATGACAGAGGAATTGTTGTAGTCCCCAGGCAGTTTCCCATAACGTGTCCCTTCAGTTCTGGCAATGTGATTCACCACTCTGTCACACACATCTGACATGCAGGAGTCCCACCACGCTCGGCGCAATCTTCCTGTGGCCCGTTCCACCACATCCCCCGAGGTGCGTCGGTGCTCACGCCGCGGGGCGAGCGGGATTACCTGCGGGGCTGCGCCCGGCGCTCCGCCGGCCTCCCTCCTCGGCGAGCTGCGTCGCCGCACGCCGCGCTTACGGCCCGAGAGACCCGACCCTGCTGCCGCTGCCCGCGGCTCCCGGGGCCCCGGCGCGGAGCTGTGCCCGCCGCGAGGCCGTGCCCGCCGCGCCGTCCTGGCGCTGCTGGCGGCTGTTGCCGGGAGACCGGCGCCGCTCCGGCCGGCGCGCGCCCCTGGATCGCTCCCGGCCGCGCGGCCGTTCCAGCACGGCACGAGCGCGGCACCCGTGGGCGGCCCTGATGCATTATTCATGAGGCGGTCCGAGAGGTATTATTCCTGAGGTGATCCGACATGCATTATTCATGAGGCGATCGGACATGCATTATTCGTGAGGCGCTCGGATGTGCATTATTCATGAGGCGGCGAATGAGGGACCGACCCCGCTACGGCTCTTCATTGGCCGCGGAACGGAGGCCACGCCCCCGGCGGCCGCCGGGCGGCGCAGGCGCAGCGGGGCGCGCGGCGGCTGCAGCGGGCGGAGAAGCGGGGGCGGCGGCGGTGCCGCCATGGCGGACGTCGAGGGCTTGCTGTCCGTGGACTACGAGGTGTACGGCAAGGTGCAAGGCGTGTTCTTCCGCAAGTACACCCAGGTGCGTGCCGCGGTCCCCGGGGGCGGGCTGCCCTGCCTGCCCGCCCGCTGTCAGCCCCCTGCGGCGCCGGGCCGCGGCCGAGGGCTGGGCTCCGGCCGCTGCTGCTGAAGGGGGCTGGCATCGCGGTGCTGCTGGCAGCCCGGCCGCGTTATGTAAGCATGACTGAAGAGAGAGTCTCAGCCACAGTTTTTCGCGTGAAAGAATACTGCGTAGTCGAGTGAATCCTCTGCTGCTTTCCTGTTGGCCTGAGCCAAAGGAACTTCCTTGGGGGGGCTGTGTCTTGCTAACAAAATTGGGTCCTGTATGTGAATGTTGTTCTATTGCTCTTATAGTTTGGATTAACCTCATTTTGCTCTGCATTGTCTTCTCAGGGAGAGGCCAAGAGACTGGGGCTGGTTGGCTGGGTCCAAAATACCAGCCACGGCACTGTTCAAGGGCAAATCCAGGGTCCAGCTGCCAGGGTGCGGGAGCTGCAAGAATGGCTCAGGAAGATAGGAAGTCCCCAGTCCCGTATCAGCCGAGCAGAGTTCAACAATGAGAAGAAGATCGAGGCGCTGGAGCACAAGGAATTCCAGATTTTGAAGTGACTTTGTCCAGGAAGAAGCAGTCTGGAGCATGAGCTGCCTTCATGGAACATTGCGTCTCTTCCTCACTCATTCAGTCAGCCAATGTTCAGCTCTAGAGAACTTTATTTTATTAAATTTCTAATTTATTGTTTTGTTAGTTTGATGCTCAGCTGTTCACAGAATTCCAGCGGGTAGAGGAAGAGCTGTGTTGTCTCTGTTAAAGGGGCTGTTCAGGGCCAGAACCTCTGTTTACAAGTGTATGTGGTTTTGGGAGTTGTACATAAGATAAGTCTGAAACTGGTAGAGTGCGGTGCTCATGTGAAGGAAATCAGAGGGTCACTGCCGCTAGAAAACATCATTAAAAACATTATTTCTGTGTACTAAATGTCTCAGAAACTATTTTATCCCAGAAGTTCATATTTTCTGTAGAATAAAATTGCTTGGATTTTGCCTCCTGTGTGGAATGGATGTCGGATGGAGGGGCTGAGTGGATGAAGGCCTCGGAGCGGGATCTTGTTGCCAAAGCTGCCCCTCTCCCTCCCCGCTCGGTGCCGCTGTGCGGGAGTGGCCGGGGGAAGCCGTGCTTCCCGCAGCCGGGCCGAGCTCCCGCCTTTCCCGGCCTCTTCGGGCTCGGTCGGGTGGGAACTACAACTCCCGGCGTGCTCTTAGCCGGGCCCCGTGCTCTCGCGGCTGCGCGCGCGCCGTCGCCCCGCGGGAGGAGCCCGGCGGCCCGGCCCCGGCGGTCTCGCGCCGCGGCCGCTGCGGGGCCGGCCCGGCCCGGTGGGTGCTGAGGGGCCGAGGGCGGGACGCGGGCCCGGGGCGGCCGGGAAGAGGAAGCAGCTCCGGCAGCTCCGGCTGTGAGGGGAGGGCACGGACAGCGTGTGGTGGCGAGCTGAGCCGCGGGTCCGCGCTGCCCTCCTCAGCCCCGGGGCTAGGGAGCCTCGGGCGACCTGTCACAGCTGCGGCACCGGATCCTCGGGCACGGCTAGCAGGCCCCTTGAATGCCGCTAGGAAACCAGTAGCAGCCAAGGACTTGAAAACAGTGGGTTCTCTTACGCATAAACAGCTTGCTCTTTGTGCCTGTCACCCATTGCCAAGCCTGCTTTGCTCCTTTCCTGGATAAGTAGCAGCAGATACTATTTTACCAGGACTGTCAATTTTTTGTGGGGATGTAAAAACAGGAGAAAAGCAGCTTTCTGCCCAGTTCTTGGTGATATTTACTCTATAATTCTGATTAAAATTGCAGTAGAAACCTTTGGTTGCAGGTCCTTAGAGTTTTGCCTCACATGGTAGGAGTGTGATTTGGATATGCTAAGTTTGAGAACACAGCGTGTTGTTAGTAAGGAGCTGAGGCTCAGGCTCTGGCCATCTACCCTGAAGGCACTGACTGTGTGTAGTCAGAGCATGAGCATTAATCACAGAAAAAGCCTCTGAATGCCAAGAAAGCTAAGAAAAGTGTATTTATGAGGGTGAACGAAATAAATCAGTCTTTTCAGGTCTTTAATTTGTATTTATTTAATTTTTCCCCCTTGTCTCTCTGTGTTTTAAGGAACATGGAGCAGTGAGCTCCCTGCAGTTTCTCGTGGTTCTCATCCATCAGATTTTGACATGATCAAACGTTTGGTGGAAGATGTGCGAGCCAGGCTGCGTTCTGGAGTCACTGTCAGCTCACTCGGACACTGTGTTGAGGAGCTTGTCCTCAACAGCATCGATGCCAAAGCAACATGTGTAGCTATCAGGGTGGATCTGGAAGCTTTTAAGATCCAGGTGGTGGACAATGGCTCTGGGATGGGGAAAGAGGACCTAAAGGCTGTTGGAAAGCGCTACTTCACCAGCAAATGCAGCTCAGTGAGAGACTTGGAGAACCTGACTTTCTATGGCTTCAGAGGAGAGGCTTTGGCAAGTATAGCCAACATGGCCAGTGTAGTGGAAATCTCATCTAAGACCAGCAGGACAGCAAAAACGTTTATGAAACTGTTTCACAATGGGCAAGCACTGGAAGTGTGCGAAGCTGAATTGAACAGACCAAGTGGCGGAACCACAGTCACTGTGTGCAATCTGTTCCATCAGTTACCAGTGAGGAGAAAGTGCATGGATCCTGTGCTGGAAATTGAGAGAGTGAGACAGAAGGTAGAGGCTGTTTCGCTAATGCATCCTTCTGTTTCTCTTTCTTTAAGAAACGATGTTTCTTGTTCTATGGTGCTTCAGCTGCCTAAGACAAGAGACGTATACTCTCGGTTTTGTCAAATTTATGGACTGGGCAGATCCCAGAAGTTGCGAGAAATAAACCACAAGTCTGGGGGATTTGAGATAAGTGGTTTTATCAGTACTGAGGGGCATTACAATAAGAATATGCAGTTCTTGTATGTGAATAGGAGGCTTGTTTTAAAGACAAGACTACATAAACTAATTGATTTTTTATTAAGAAAAGAAAGCGTAATTTGCAAGGCAAAGAGTGTCCCTGCAAGCCGACAGGCTAATTCAAGTCCCGGTCGCCATCGCTGTGGGCCAGAGTTGTATGGGATCTTTATTCTCAATGTAACCTGTGCATACAGTGACTATGATGTGTGCCTGGAACCTGCAAAGACTCTGATTGAGTTCCAGAACTGGGATGTTCTTCTTACTTGCATAGAAGAAGGAGTGAAAATATTTTTGAAACGAGAGCATTTATTTATTGAACCAAGTAGTGAGGACATCAGAGAATTTAGTGAACATAATGACTTTTGTTTGCATAATGCTCCAGTTCTGAAGCCTTCAATTCTTGACGAGAAGAGCATCCAAGAAAGTTTTAAGAAAGCATGTAATGAAATTGTGGATTCTTATGAAATACGTAGCTTGCAATCAAAAGATGTCAAGAGGAAATCCATTACTAGGAAAAAAAGTTCAGATCTTATAGAGTCAAGTAAAAATGTGCAGGAAACTAAAAATGCTCCAGTTCAGAACACTGCTGAATCATCTGATCCATGTAGAAACAATAAAGCAGAGACTCCATTGCCAAGCAAAGATGACACAGGCTCTGATTTAATTAAATCAAATACCTCAGAACAGGATCGAAAACACACTAGCAGTTCCCAAAAAGTACCTGATATTCGTCTGAAACCTTCAGAACATCTTTGTTCTTCTTTCAGTGGAGGGGCCAGATCGGAAATAAGAGAAATAGATGGTTGTGGTGACCTAGGGGATTGTGCAGAGAATAATATAAAAAATGTGGGCAGCCGGCAAGGTCAAGTAACACAGGAAAGCAGTAAGGTTCTTGTCTTAAATAAGGATGTTATTCAATCACTGCTTGAGAGAGAAGACCCCACTGAAACAGCAGTGGGACCTGAAACTGTCTCTGGAAGTTCATTAATGAGACTGTGTAATGCAAGAAGAAACAGGGCAACAGCTGAAGTGATAGGTGATGCCAGAAGAGAGGCTGTTAGTTCAATACCCTTAAAGCTGTGCCTTACAGACCTCATAAAAAGTGTTATGCAAAATGAGTCCCCACATGACTGTGAACAAACAGAAACAAATCTTGCAATAAACACACAGTGTAGGCCTGGCCCTGTCAGTGCCAAGGATATTTCTGACCACAAAGTGAATGTTGTGATTCAGTCTTCAAATGCTAAGGATATTTCCAGTAATAGTAATAAAGAATATACAGCTTCTCTTACTAGAGAAGTGTGCAAGACTGCTGGTCATGAGAACAAACCTTTGTCACATCGGGTGAGGGAGGAGATAGCTATGGGCACTGCTACCAATAAACGACCTTATGAAACATCAAACAGTACGGAATTGCCGCTGACAACTTCTTCAGGTATTCCTCGCAAGAAAATTGTTATCAAAAACACTAGAAGACAGATAGTTGTGCCAAGATCGCAGCCCTCTAAGAAGCTGGGCTTGTCCACACAGCTGGGATCATTAGAAAAGTTCAGGAGGTATTATGGGAGAGTTAAGTCTACGCTACCAACACCCACGTCAGAGCAAAATGAATGTGGTCTCCCAGTTCTTCATTCAGAAACTAGCTGTGACTTTTCAAAGAATGGGAAAGGCAATCATGATAACTTCGGCAGTTGTGAAACTCCACCTGCAGAAGATACAGATTCTAATATTAACCAAGGTTTTGGTTCCTTGGAAAAGACTTCATTTTGCAGTGGAGAAGTGTCACAGGCCAAACGAGCCCTTTGTCAGAGTCCTTTGACATTG